CCAACGCTGGAGACCCCAGTCCCGTGCCTTGTCCCCAATCCTGGAGATCCCAGTCCCGTGCCTTGTCCCCAATCCTGGAGACCCCAGTCCCGTGCCTTGTCCCACCACCGGCTCTTCCAGAAGTGGCGCCGCAGCTGCGGCAGCTCAGCGCTGTTCCCTCAGCCCCGGCGTCAGTCACGGGATGCCATTAATTATCCCCGCGATTCCCAGGAATGGGGGCTGTCCTAATTACAGCCGCGCTTTGTTTGGGCTGGTGTCTCTGCCTGAGCGCAAAAACAAAAGGCAGCAGATCGGGACAAGCGATGCTACAAAGGAAGGAGCAGGGGAGGCAGAGAGGATCCTGCGGGTTGGGATGCTCCCTGCAAATAGATCTTCCCTCTCTCCAGGTCATGAGATTTGGCTGAAAGCTCCGGCTGAAGCTGCCGCTCCGAGGTTTCGCTTTGCCCGGGTGATGAAGGGCTAATTAGATGCAGATTAAAAGTCACTATTAGGGATAATCCCTGCGCGGCCGTGGAAACGCTGGAGCATCTCTCCCTTAGCTCCGGGACTCCGGGGCCCTTTGTATTTCCTCCCCGGAAAAAAAAAGAAAAAAAAAAAAGATAACGAAAAAAAGGTAGTTGGAAGTGCAGGATGAGCTGGGGGAAGGGAGATGGGGTGAGGGAAAGCTGGGAAGAAATAATTGCCGCGTCTGAAAACAGTTACTATGGCAGCGACAGTTTTCGCGCCGCCTGAGCGAAATGTTGGGGACCAGCGGTGGTCCCTTTGTCACATCCTCAGACACACATTTAGATGCTAATGCTGCCTTTAACCTTGGCTGCTTAACCTTGATAGGAGGGGAAGGGCAGCGAGGGGGGAGAATAAGCAGCGATAGGCGGGGGTTTATGGAAAAGATGGGTTTCCTCTCCCTAAATTTGTCACCGAATGGACTTGGCAGGCTCCTCTCTGCTGCGATTAACGCTGTTATTTCTGCGCTTAATATTCCGCGGAGGTTTTACCAGCTTATTTATGGATAGCTGGCATTAGCCGCAGCATAATTCACCGCTGCGACGCTCCCGTTTATCTCCATCTCCTCCGGATTGTCTCATCTGAGGCCGGTTTGGAGAACACCCCCAGGTTTGATCAGCCTAGCTATCTAATATCGTCTTTATTTAGAACTGCCGTGAAAAAAGGAGGGGTGCGCAGGAGGGAAGACTCCCCTTTAGACTTTGGATGGTGGGGAAAGACATTTTGGTGGCCTGTGTGGCTTTTCTTGAGGCCCCAAACTGTCTCAGCAGCGGGATGAAAGAAGAGGGATGGAGAGGGGAAGGAAAGGAGAAGGGGAATTCCCTGGGGAGCGCTACCTGGCTGAAACAGCAACTCCAGCGCTCCCGACACCGAGCACGGGCTCACGGCCCGAAGGTAAATTCCTAAATCCCAGCCCTATTGCACACAGATTAGCCACTAATTCCGGAAGCAGCCCGGGATGCCCTCGCTTCGGGATTATCCTTAACTGCAGCCTTTAAGGAAGATTTTGCTGGAGCGATTCAGGCAGGGGAGATGAGAGCGGTGCCAGTGCCGGATCTACCGCTCACAGATATGACTCTATTCTTCTGTTTCTGGCATTTTTTAATTCTTCTTTAAAGCTCCTGGTCCTGCAGTCAGATGATCACTTATAGGTTTCTCCATGTGCTCTCGGAACCTCGTTTTTTTGGCCTGGTGGTAGACTAAAGCCTGAGCTTACACCAGCTCAAAGATAAGTCTAGGACAGCCCTGCTGCACAAAATATTTCCATTTTCCAGCCCATCTAGTGCCTGTGTCTCGACTTTGGATTGGTAATGGTGCCTTACTCGTGCCACGGAGTGTTTCTCCCACCTGCATGATGACCGGCACAGAGTTCCCTGCTCTTTTTCACCGTGTCACCACACAGTGATTTCCACAAAACTGTGCCCAGTGTCACCTCTGAGGACTGCAAAAACAAGCTCCCTGTATTTTTAATGATGGCATGTGCTAATAGGGAGCCTTATCTCCACACAAAGCCTCCACATGCATCCTCGGGATGAAATATGAATGTGAAGAATTCACACTCATATTCACTCGGCATCTCCAGCCCGACAAACCCTCACCACAAACTGAGGGGTGAAAGCATCCTAAATTAAAAGCAGTATCTGTCTTCTGCAGTGCAGTTCCTTCTCAGGAGTTTCTGGCTGAGCTGTCACATAGAGTCGATATTTATTTTACTAAGGCTGTAAAAGAGGCAGTGGGTAATATTGTAGCAACCAGCCTGCTGCTGCTTTTTGGCTCGGGAATGAGAGCAGAAATAAAAGCAAGAGCTCTGGCTCAGGTTTTGCCCAGAAAAGCTGTGGCTGCCTGGAAGTGTTCAAGGTCAGGTTTGAAAGGGCTTGAAGCAACTTGGGGTAGTGGAAGGTGTCCCTGCCCGTGGCATGGGGGTGGAACTGAATCTTTAGTTGGAAGTAGATCTCCTGTGAGTAACTGGGACAGAAGTTCCATGGCTCAGCTACCCGGCCACTGGGGACCTCAGGAGCTTTATCAGGAGTTGTGGGAACTCACAACCTTTACAAAATATGAGACCCAAAAAGCATTAACGGCAGCGACCAACATTAGTGTCAGCCCTGCCCTGGATCCAACACAGGTGATGTTTTCCCCCTGTGGCATCTCTCTGCTTGGGGACACTGACAGCTGCAGGGGACACAGATGCTCCACATTGCTCTGCTGCTTTCCAGCTCGAATCATCACTGGTGCCAGGTGTCCCTGAAAAGCTGTGCCTAAACAGCTTCTGGTGTCTCACATGCAATAATTAATCCCAGAATCCCAGAATGGTTTGGGCTGGAAGGGACCTGAAAAAACATCTCATTCCCACCCCCTGCACTTGGCAGGGACACCTTCCACTATCCCAGGTTGCTCCAAGCCCCATCCAACCTGTCCTTGGACACTTCCAGAGATGGAGCAGCCACACCTTGGCTTGGTTACGGTTTTTAAGGGGGTTTTTACTGCTTGCTGCGGTCGGTCACGATGACAAACATCAGGATAATCGAGCTTCCAGCACAGGGGGATGGCGCTTCTGGGGGTCCCCGAGGAGCAGAAGCGCAGGCAAGGCCAGGTGGAGCTCGGCCAGGGCCAGGTGAAGCCCAGACAGGGGCGACCCTGGCAGGACGCGGGGCGGAGCGGGAGGAAGGCGGCGGCGCGGCCCCTCCTCTTCTCCTCTTTCTTTTCCTCCGCCTCCTCCTCCTCCTCCTCCTCCTCCTCCTCCTGCCGGGCGGGGCGAGGGTCGGCAGTCCCGGCGCGCTGCCGCCGCGTGGAGCCGCGCTGCATGTTCCCGATCCCTGATCCCGCATCCCTGATCCCGCATCCCTGATCCCGCATCCCTGATCCCACATCCCTGATCCCTGTTCCCGGCTCCCTCCGCCGCCCCCAGCCGTGCCCCCGCTGCGGGCCGGCGGCGCGGGGATGGGCGCGGGGCTGTGAGCGCGGCCGGGAGCCGTGGCCATGGGGAACATCTCCTCCAACATCTCCGCCTTCCAGTCCCTGCACATCGTCATGCTGGGCCTGGATTCGGCGGGAAAGACCACGGTGCTCTACCGCCTCAAGTTCAACGAGTTCGTCAACACCGTTCCCACCATCGGCTTCAACACCGAGAAGATCCGGCTCAGCAACGGGACGGCCAAGGGCATCAGCTGCCACTTCTGGGACGTGGGCGGCCAGGAGAAGCTGCGCCCGCTCTGGAAGTCCTACAGCCGCTGCACCGATGGCATCATCTACGTGGTGGACTCAGTGGATGTGGACCGGCTGGAGGAAGCCAAAACGGAGCTGCACAAGGTGACCAAGTTCGCGGAGAACCAGGGCACCCCGCTGCTGGTCATCGCCAACAAGCAGGACCTGCCCAAATCGCTGCCGGTGGCCGAGATCGAGAAGCAGCTGGCCCTCCACGAGCTGACCCCTTCCACCACCTACCACATCCAGCCCGCCTGCGCCATCATCGGCGAGGGGCTGACGGAGGGCATGGACAAGCTCTACGAGATGATCCTCAAGCGCAGGAAGTCCCTCAAGCAGAAGAAGAAGCGGTAGAAGCCCAGCTGAGGCGGGGAGGGATTGGGGAGCAGACAAAGGAACTGAGGGGGAGACAGAACCAAAGCGATTCTTTTGGGTTTAATCGTTCTTTTTTTTTCCCTCTTCATTTTTTTTCCTCCTTCCCCAAAGGATAGACAGACAATAGTGGTGATAACAAAGCGGCTCCCTCCAGCCGAGCCCAGATCCCGGAGCTCCCCTCGCCCACCGCCCCGTGCTCCTGAGGGTCTGATGCGGACTCCCTTGGGCTGGAAACACGGGAAAACGGGGTGAATCCCCCCTCTCCATCTCCGGGACCACCGAGCCTTTGTGTGCCGGGGAACCAGCAGGGCAGGCCCCTGTTAAAGCGCGTTTGAGCGGAGCCCAGCGTGCTTTTGGATCTTTAACGTGGGCATTTGGGGGTGTCGATGCCAGACCCCCACATGCATTTTGGGGCGGGGGGTCGGTGATGCTGGCGGGTGCCGGATGCACCGTGGCTCGGCAAGGTCGGCGGGGTGGGCGCGGGGGGGGGGGGGGGGGGGCTTGCAGTCCTCATCCCTGCATCCTCACATCCCTGGATCCCTCCCCCGCGGGTGGCGGTGGGAAGGGGTGTTGAAAGCTTGGATGGGGGGTTGGACCAGCAGAAAATGTCTTGGAAGGGTGGGTGTGGTGGGTAAGGGGTCATCCACCCACCCTGGCTGGTGTTTTAGGGTGCAGAGCAAGGACGGGCAGCCTTTGGCTTGTAGGGGGAGGATGCGACACTGGGGTGCTGAGTAGTGCAGAGCTTTAAGCTCCTGGCTCAAAAAAAGGGTGGAAAGGCTGGAAAAAGGAAAAAGAATACCCAAGGGTTTGGGGTGAACGCTGCTGGAAGCGCTGGGGGGGTTGTGCAGGACCGGTGTCACCTTCGGCAGCAAAGCACCCCGCAGGTGTGCATTGTCCCCGTGCTCAGGGTGGGAGTGCTCCAAGGTGCGGCTTTGGAGGTGATCCAAACTAGGAATTACTTAGTGAAACCCCCCAAAAAGGCAGAGTTCGGGGTTCTGGCCACTATGCTACTCTGCAGTGGGGCAGGAGGCCAAGTCAGGGAGGGTCGTGGCAGGGCAGGATGGATGGACGGATGGATGGATGAATGGACGTACAGACAGAGATGGCCAGAGCCTGCAAAAAATCTCTGCTGGAAAGGGAAGATGGCAGGGGTGAAGAGGCATCAGGGGGTTGTGGTAGGTTTTTAATAAATATTCAAACCTGATTAAAAGCCCCTCGCTTCCCCCAGCAGCCACATGGGCAAGCTGTGCCTGCAGAGCAGCCTGAGCACCCGGGCAGGGTTGGGCCTGGCCGCCTCTTCCTGCAGGTGAACATTTTATACCTGCATGGGGCTGAGGACCAAAATCCACTTGCTGTCTGTGTTTCAGCCTGGGATCTGGCTCTCCGGTGTCCTGGCTTCCCACAGAGCTGAAGCAGGCAGCCCTCAGGGGCCAAATATCCTGAGTTTGGAGGCAGGCAGGATTTTCTGGTGATTTTACACCAGCTTTCCCATTTTCAAACCCCTTCCCAGAGCAGCCAAGGGGAAAGCACCAAGCAGACAAAAGCAAAATGCCTTTCGGGTTTTGGGGAGTTGATCCTCCCCTTGCAGCGACGAGCGCCTTCCAAACAGCATTTTTGGGGGGCGGGGGCGTTTGTTAGGGAACAAATGTTGCAGCCGAGTTGTGTTTGTTCTCCTTTTGCGGGGTTTGAGTCCTGATCTGTGTGGGCTGGTCCCATCCGTTCAGGTGGCTCTCTTCCCGCTCCCTCGGGTTTCCCTGCTTTGTCTTCACCTCCAACACTTTGGTACTTGCTGTCAAGAGAGAGAGAAAGAATTATTTATTTTTGATGCCACAGAAGCCACACGTATTAACCCATTTTGGGAGAGCAACCTGTTTGGAATGTAAAAGCTGTTTTGACCCCAGCAGCTCCAGGGTGATCAGGTTTTAGGAATGACACCTGCAGGCTGTTGGTGGTGGGTTTTTTTACCTCCTGGCTGGTCTCGTTTAGCACATGCTGGCAGTGGAAAGGCTGTTCTTACAGAGCTGGGTCCTTCCTGGGAGCTCGTTCCACCCAGATGAGCATCCCCTTGGAGAGATGGCAGAGGACTGGAAGGTTCGGGTGGGACGCTGTGCCCGTGCCCTTGCCAGCCACTCTGCTTTCTGCAATAATTAAAAAGACTTTTCCAACAAATAGCTCCTGGCTTCCGTGGTGTTTCCGTAACGCCCCACCCGGTTTTCCCCCTTCCCCGTGTGAAGATGAGCGTCGCCCTCGGCGGGCTGCAAGAAGAGGGGCCTCAGCAGAGCAGCCCCCAAGGGCTCTTTGCAAGGCCATGCATCTTCTCAGATTCTGGATGACCCGGGTTTTTTGGCAGGTCTCATTCCCCAGGTCCATTTGCCGCGTTCCTATCCATGATAACCTGTGTCCTGTCCTCGCCATTGTCCGTCAGTCTCTGTTCCTCCCGTCTTTCCTTTTTTTCATTTTGTTTTTTTTTTCTTTTTTTAAGATGCAGACATAATGCTGTGAACTGAAATAAATTATTTATACAATGAAAGGGCCTGATAAAAAAAAAAAAAAAACAACCAAAACCCAGTGTTCTGCTTGTTTCTCAGTATCAGTGCTGCATTCTGTGTGGTTTGAAGGAGGTTCCTGCTGCCTCCCCAAGGAGAGGAGACAAGGGGACAGAGAAGTGACCTGCCGAGGATCCAGTCACGGTGTGTCACGTGGCAGCCCGCTAGGACATGGGGGACATCCGTAATTTGCTGGTTAATGAAATCTGAGCTCTTTTGCAGGTCACTTAATGTCCCTGCATCTCTGCTGCTGTCTGTGAGAGAGGAGGATACTTTTTGGTGGGGGAGGGATTTTGTTCCACCACCTCCTCTGATTTGAAATCCATGTTAGGGGGGCGATCACGCAGAGAGGAAGTTCCCATTTTTGCTCAGCATAGCTTTTTTTAAACGGGTGGCCTCGGGCAAATGGTGTCGGTGGCAGAAACCCAGGTCTGCGGGGGTTAAAACACCCCTTGGGAACAGGATGCTGCAGACAGAGCTTGAGGCTGCCTCTGCTGCTGGGTGGCTGCTGACACAGGAAACCCAGGGTGACATTTCGGGGGAGCGGCGGAGCTGGGTGGCAAATGACTTTCTTTCTCCTGTTTTTTTTCTGATGATGACAAGGCAGCCAGAGGGGAAATGATGAGCCTGACTTGTGAAAGTGAGATTTGGAAGGGCTTGGAGTGTTCTCACCCCACCCGAGGTTTGTGGGGTGCGCAGTGCCTGGGTGAGGGGATGTGGTGTCTGCAGGGCAGGGGTGGGGGGCTCTGGGGGCTGACAGGAGCCCAGGGTATGGCTGGAGCTGTGTCAGGGCAGGCTCAGACTGGAGATCAGGGAAAGGTTCTTCTGAGGGTGCTGGGCACTGCCCAAGGAATGGGCACAGCCCCAGGCTGACAAGAGCCTGAGGAACATTTCAACAATGCTCTCAGGGTGGGATTGTTGGGGTGTCTGTGCAGGGCCAGGGATTGGACTCCATGATCCTTTTGGATTCCTTCCAGTTCAGGAGATTCCATGATTCTTTGAACCCAAAGGCTTATCCAGCACTGCAGCTGCTGAGCTGCTATCAAGGCTCAGAAATCCCTTGGAGCTGAGCTGGACCGTGGCATTTCAGGATTGAGTTGTGGATTGCTCAGCTGCCCCCTGACCTTGCAGAGAGCCTCTGGAAGGTGCAGTTCCCCACGGGCTCCCTCCTCACCCAGAGCATTACTGACAGGCGTCTGTCCCTCTGCCACACAGTTCAGTGCTCCTGAAGATGCTCCTGACCATCCTCTGGCCCCATTTTCCATGGGACATTGTGTGCATGTTCCTCCTGTTTTCATGGATCTGAAAGCCCAGCAGTGCAACTTCCTTAGCCTGAAGGGACTTGTCCTCATGGATCCCACCTGGCAGAAGCTGATTTTGGGGGGTTTTCCAGCTGGCCCGGAGGTGTGGATGCTGCCATTGTGTCCCTGGGCTTATCTGTGTGCCAGGGGAGCTGGACTTTGGTCCCTTGGTCACACATGGAGGGGGGGGGTGGGTGGTGCTTTCCTCCTGGTTTAAGGGGGAACCATCCCTTTCCCTGCAGTGGAGGAAAAGAAACAGCTGCCAGGGTTTGAGGCTGTGTCTTATTGATGATCCTGAGATTGTAAAAAGTCTCTGTCTTTCAGGCCTGTGTCCAAAGCAGAAGCCATAATTGGTCTGTGCTGGTTTCCAGGTTGTTTATTCTGTTTATCTCTCACATGTTCTGCTGCCCTGCCCAGCTCTGTCCTGCAGGGCAGCGTGTGGGGCTCTGCCCTCAGTGGGATGTGACAAACATTAAATACCAGAAACTCCCTGGGCTGCATTTACAATAACGTGCCAATATCTGTCACCTACGTTGGACAGTGTGTCCCCAGCCTGAACCTACAGAAAAATGCCAACACCACAGTGAAACATGGAGGGCATGAAGAAGGAGCAAAAGGACAAGGCACACCCAATTTCCTCCATCTTGTCCCCTTTGAACCCCTAATCTAGAATCCTAAAATTTTACTTTTGCACCCATGCCACACTTAATTATTACTTATATTAAACACTCAGAGCTGGTAATTCATCCTGTAAGATTGAAAACTCTTTTGCATGGACAGAGATCACAGACAGTGTCTCTGGGGGCTCTGTCCAGGGGGGTTCCTGACCCCTGCCAGGGTCCCAGGCCTGCCAGGACAGCCAGAGGGAAGCCCTGGATTCCCACAGGACGGGAGGGGCTGTGCTCTGTGGCCAGCGGAGCTCCTTGTGCTTCCACCGCCATCCTCCCCGGAGCAGCGTGTCCTGCTGGCCAGAGTGCTTCTGTCAGCAGGGGGGAGGCGGTGTTCGGGCTGGCTGTCCTGAGAGCATCACACAAGGCCCCAATGGATGGGGCTGTGCCCCCAGCCCGGGCAGGCAGAGTGGCCAAACAGCGAGGGACAGTCGGGACAGTCCCTGGCCTGATGTCTGGGGAGTGCCCAGGGACTCTGCAGTCCCTGCACAGGACTGGCCGGGAGATCAAACAGCGAGGGAGCAGTTGGGCTGTGAGCTACAGCAGCTGACAAGGACCTGGAACATTCCAAGAGGATGGATCAGGGCTGGGAGCAGTGGGAGATGGGGTCAGGACAGCGATGAGCAGAGGGGAGCCATCAGTGTGTCCCTGGTGGACCCCCCTCTCTGCAGGGACCAGGGAAGGTTGCTGAGTGCTCTCCCAGTGTCCCCTTGGTGAATCCCACTTTTCCAAGCATGCAGCTTCCCGACATCTCCTCTAGCCCGGGAGCCCCTCTGCTGCAGGTCCTGCCTTGCCTCGTGCTGTGTCAGCCGTACGGGTCCTTCTGCATCTCTTCCCTGGCTTTGCCTCGTTAAGCTAAATCCCTCTGCTTTATTTCAAATGGGATTTGCTTCCCAAGCAAGGATCTTTAAAAGGATCATCCTGGTTAATGCAATCCTGAGGGCGCTGGACCCTTGGAGTGTGGTGCAGGGCACTGGCAGCTATTGCACAGCACCAGGTGCTTCTGGCCAAATTTTGGGGGTGGCTGAGGATGACCATCCCTTTAAAACAGTCTAGAAACCACAACCAGAAGAAAGAAAAAAAATCCCACAATGATTCAAATGTTGTTTCCTTTGTTTCAGGCAGCTCCATCCTGGAGCTTCTTCAATGGGAATTACCCCCAAATCACCAGTTTTTGTCTGAGCAGCAAAAGGCCACTGCTGTGAGTTACTTTAAGCACTTTGCACACACACCATGAAAAAAAAAAGCCTCGTACTGGCCCGGCAGAGCAAAATTGAGACATTTCAGCACGAAGATGTTTGAATATGGAGGGCTCAGCTTGGGAATATTTGCTCTAATAAACCATTCTGTTTATTTCAGTTTAGCCTGTGTTTGCTTCCCTCAGACCTTCGTGTGAGATTTCAGGCAGGAAAGCTCACAGAGCCCATCAAAATCTCCAGCAATGACATTAAAACACTGCTGGAAGGTGAGTTATGGAGCCTGGACACCCCCCAGGTGACCAGAAAGAATCCCATGTGTCCCATGAACCTCCTGCCCTCCCTCCCTGGCAGCCCTGACTGATGGCATCCCACAGCTTCCCAAAATGCTGGAAGCACGATGGGAAGAGCACAGAGCTCTTCATCAGCCCACAGATTAGAGTCTTCCCATTTATTGTAAGTCATCCTTATTTATTGCTGTGAATGATATAATAGATAGGAATTCTAATTATAATTACTGATATTAACAATATTATAATACATATATATATTAATAAATAGTGATAAAAACAGCAAATAAATAACAAAAGGGTGGGCAGGTCCTGACACAGAGTTCCCAGAGCTGCTGTAGCTGCCCCTGGATCCCTGGAAGTGTCCAAGGCCAGGCTGGACAGGGCTTGGAGCACTCAGGGATAGTGGAAAGTGTCTCTGCCCGTGGCAGGGGTTGGAATGGAATGAGCTTTAAGGTCTTTTCCACCCCAAACCATTCTGGGATTCTGGGATTATTTTTATTGCTCAGCCCAAATTTTGCAGCTGGGCTGAGCTGCTCTGGTTCTCGTATCCCATGATGCTGGAGCACTCCCAGAAGATAGGGACTGGGGAAACAGGCACTCCCAAAGCTCCTGATCCCACCTGGCATTGCTTTCAAGTATTTTGCTGTCAGGAAGGGAACAGGATGCAAAGCTGGGCCTAAATGCAGGTTTTTTATACTCCTGCCTAACTTTGGTCACACGACTTAACTTGCCCCAAACTTCTTCTCCACAGGAATAAAAGGAAATTTCCAGCATTTTTTCCTGTTCCCTGAGCTTCAGAAAGAAATTTGGGCTGGTGTGATTCTCCGATCCCCATGGTAAAGATGCTAAACCTGCAGGACTATATCTTCCCTGGTGGAGGAAGGGGTTGAAGGCTGAGGGTGGAGGGAGATTCCTGCAGATCCAGGTGCTCCTGCTGTGCCATGGCCATGTTATTTGGTCCCTAATTATTATTTGGTCCCAAATTATTTCTGCCCTGAGATAAGAAAGTCAGGGTATCCCCCAGCCTCTCAGCTGGAGGTGGCAGGGATTATTTGCTTTCTTGGGGCTAAAATGAGGTGTTTTGGGGGATCTGTTTGCCTGGGCACCCCAAACTGGGCCACCAGAGCTGCACCAGGGCTGTCTGGGTGCCTTGGCTCAGCCCCTGGCAGCTCCAGACCACGCTGGTTTAATTTCTGAGCTCTCTGAAAGCCTCCAGCCATATCCTGCAAGTGCTGGCTGCCAGATGGAAGGTGACAGCCCATCCTCAGCCCTGGCCCCACAGCTGTGGGGTGCCCCGCAGCTGCGGGGATGGCACTGGCACCCTGGGGACAGGAACTGCTGTCCCCACCACAGCACGGTGCCAGGGCTGGGAGCAGCTCGGGACTCTGCCACACAGCCAGCAGAGGTGAAGGCCCGGCGTGGCAGTGGGAGCTGGGAACACAGGGGTTGTTGTGCTGGTTAATGTTAAACAGCCCTGGAAAGCCTCTCCTGCCCTCCCGAACAAAGGGGCCCTTCCAGCTCTTTGGCAGCTTCTCCACCCTTCTGCTGTGGGTGGGAATGTCCAGGGGCTGCAGAGGGAATGGCAGGGCTGCAAGTTTCCATCCTGCCAGGATGGGCTGTGCTCTTCCCAACCATCCTTGGAAAACACCTGGGTGCTTGGAGGGAGCTGCTGGAGAGGACAATGGGTGCTGGGGAGAAATAAACACCAAAATAACGACTCACAACCCGCACACAGAATCACAGAATTCCAGAATGGCTTGGGTTGGAAAGGCCTTGAAGCTCATCCAGTGCCATGGGCAGGGACACCTTCCACTAGACCAGGCTGCTCCAGCCTGGCCTTGGACACTTGCAGGGATCCAGGGGCAGCCACAGCTGCTCTGGTCACCCTGTGCCAGGGCCGGCCCATCCTCCCAGGGCGTAATTCCTTCCTGAATTTCTCCTTGGAGCCTGCCCTTGCTTGTACCCCATCCACAGGCTCATCTCCAGAATAAATGGCCTTCAGCCTTCCCTGTGCATCTGGACATTCCTTCTCTTGCAGGAATGGCCAGGGGGTAGCACCTGATGGTCCCAGAGAGGTGGGGAGACTTCTGCTGCCTCAGCCCAGCCCTGGGACCTGCTGTGTTCCTTCTGGGACTTCCAGCAGCTCCAGGGTAGCTCAGACTGGGAATGGGGTGGCAAGGATGGTATAAAATCATCCTGTGACAGTCTTCCCTGCAGATTCTAGCACCAAACATCTTCCCACCAAACATCTTCCCACCCAGCCTGGCCTCTCTGGGGTTGGGATGCCGAGTCCAAAGAGCTGAGAATTTGTCCCTCATCAGCTGCAGAACCTCCTGCAGGGAAAACAGCCCACCTGGGCCCTGTCCTTCTTCCCCTGTGAGAGCAAGCAGGGGGGAGGACTAAAACTATTTATTACACCTGAAGCATCAGCATTTTCTATGTCCCAGGGAGCTGTTGGGGTGCAGTGGGTGAAATCCAAGCATTATTGCTGGTGAAGAAGTCCTGGTGTGACCATGTGGAGCATGAGGGGGCCATAAAGCCATCGGGAGGACTGAGAGGGGAAAAAAGAAAAGTCCTGCTGGAGTTTTAGCATTGTGGCCTGAGGATTTCTAACCCCTGAGGACTGGCTTAGCTCTGGATGAGGGAAAGCCTGGGAGAAGAGGATTTGGGGTCCATGAGCAACGCGCTCATCTCACACCGTGGGGCTGGAGCCTCTGGGTGCAGAGAGACAGGGGCTGCTGCTGCCAGCCCCAGGGAGGGGTTGCTAACACCAAGGCTTGATGTTTATCATCCAAGGGCCCAGGGGAGACTTGGTGCTCAAGGCTTCTTTATTTTTAGCTGGATAATGGAGACAGTGATGTAGGAAGAGGGGAGGGAGAAGGCAGGGCTGTACCTGCTGAGATATTCAAGTTCCTTATTTGTAATTCCTGGTAAAGAAGTTCTGGATATGTGAGGGGGTTTACATATATTTATGTATATTTTTATATGGGTGTTTATATCCCATCCATGTTCTGGTATATAAATATATATAAATATATAATTACACACAAGGAAGGATACATTGCAAATATTCCCTTAGCTGCTTCTGCCCCTCTTGAAGAGGAGCTTTAAGGTGTTGATGTGACACTTGGTGACACGGTTTAGTGATGACCTTGGCAGTTTTGGCAGAGTATTTGGACTTCATGATCTTAAAGAGCCTTTCCAGTTCTACAGTTCTGTGTTTCTCCTGGTGGTTGGCATCTCCACCTTTTCCCATCCTGTGCTGGGTTTTGCCTTTCCCCACACCATGGATGTGTTTATGGAGGCAATCACAGATCTCTGTGACCTCTGCATGTCCCTTTTAAATTATTGGGTCCCAAATTATTTCTTCTCTGGGATAAGAAACTCAGGGTATCCCCCAGACTCTCAGCTGGAGTTGTCAGGGATGCTTTTTGGGGTGAGGATGAAGTGCTTTAGGGGCATCTGTTTGCCTGGGCACCTCAAATTTCTGCCAAGCCCTGAAGTGGGAATGCTGCCCACGGAGTGGGTGTTTATCCAGCCCCTGTTCCCAGCAGCCTCAGCCAGGTCATGTCCTGGTGATCCATTAACCAGGGAGGGAGAGAGGCCCCTGTGCAAACCTTGGCATCTGCAGTGGAGCTGCTTGGAAAGCAGCCAGTGCTGCTCTTCCCTGGCCATCCACAAAATAAAAAAAACCCAAGGATTCATCAAAAAAGAAGCCATTTCATGGAAATGCTGGTGGCAAAGTGCCACAGTGATGGGGGAAAAGACGGGAGGCATAGTGACCTTGGATAATGCTGAGACAACACTGCTGGGATGGATCGTGCTTGCTCTGAGATGGCTTTTCACTGGGAATTTTGGAAGGAATTTTGCATTATTGAAGGTATATAATGAAATCTGGGCAGGGCACAAGGGGTATTCTCCATGCTGGGGCTGTTTTCTCACTGGGTACCCACAAATTTCCAATATTGGTAGCCCAGGAATCCCAGGAAACTCTCAGAAATGGCAGCAGAAGAAACTTTATCCCATTTCCCCCCTGCTCCCAATCCCCTGCCCTCTTGGAGCTCCTGTGTCAGGAAATGTGCAGGAAAACTGGTGCATTTCTGATGATCTGAGCTCCCTCAGCCAAGACAAGACCCAGCTTGCAACGAATATGGGTAATTTATGTGTGGATAATAATGAGAGGGAGAGCAGCATGCAAAAGGAGTTTGTCTCTCATTCCCCTGTGGTAGATAGGGACAGGCAAATGGAAGATTTCGGGATGTAACAGAAAGCAAGACTCTTCCCCCCTCATCCTGTGATATGTAATCCATCACCCCTGAGACATGTAACCCCTCCTAACTCAGTAGTTTTCCACCCCTTACTAACCCTAGAGACCCTACCTTCTTCCTTTGACGTAGCAAAGCCCCCTTGACTATTTAACCTCACAAGATAAGGTAATAAACGCCATTTGACCATCCACCACATTGGTGTCAGTGTATGTCTGTGGCCCGAGTGGCCCGGGCGAGGCTGGGCTGCCGTGCTGTCCCTTGGAACCAGGTCGCCTGCCTTCTCAGCAGAAGGCAACATTCCCCTCAGCCCTGCTCCTGAGGCTTTGCCCTACCCAGAAAAGTTATTCCTGACTATCCTAGGGGGATTAATTCACGTGGGACCTTCCTGAGTCCTCCCTTTCGCTCTAATCAATCCGCTGTGGATCCAATCGCTAAATCAGGTAAAATAAACCAAACAAAAATTACTTTTCTCCCCAAAATCCCCCTAAACCTGTATTCTTTTGCATCCTTGCAGATCCTAGGCTGGATTTTCCCTACAGACTGGTCCTTGGGAACACAGCAGAAATAAATCCAGCTTCAAAGTCCAGTGTAATAACTCACTC